TGGCTGAGGTGTGTTGGGTGAGTTGTGTTAGATGAAGTATGGGTGGGGGGGGGGGGTCATATATATTGTCTTGTCTGTTATTTACTGGCGTGGGTAATGTTTTTTGCGTCTTGTCAGCCCTTCACCCCGCTGTAGTGTTCTCTATATGGTGTGGCCATTGTGTTTTTAGCTTCGTCGGAATGTCCTTTCGAGTTGGTGGTCGAGGTTTATGGTGGACATGGGCACATCAAATTCCGAGAGTCAGTTATAGTAGTAAACAAAGGCTAGATGCTGGTGGACAACGCATAGACTTGGCCGGTGACGGGAGTAGGCTATGTTGTTGTTTTAGGTGTAGAGACAAGTTATGTAGTATTTGTGGTGTTGATGAGGTGTAGGGGCCTATTATGGCTCAGGGACACAGTGGCCAGTGTCAGACAACGTTTGTACTATGGTCTAGCCCCGAGTGGACACAATGGGCATGGCCAGGAGACAGCTTACTGCAGTGGTGTCAAACTCAAAACCTTTCGAGGGCCAATTCTTATGTTAGTTACCCTCTTCAGGGCCAACATAAGTGCTATATCACATAATTTGCAGGATTGAAGTTTACAGCTTCACACATTGCCTTACCTGGCTTACCAGGAATACCTCATTTGGGTTTGTCTGATCTTAAGTATGTAAAATTCATATTACTAAATAAACATGATTATATCTATTTCTTTCATGATTTCACGGGATGATAAATTTTACCGTCATCCCGCGGGCCACACCTGACCATCCCAAGGGCCACATTTGGCCCGCGGGCCATGACTTTGACACCCCTGTCTTACTGAGTGTCCAGGGGGAACGGTGGGGAGGGAGGGTGTTAACACCTGGCCAAGATTTTCAGTAACAGTTAGGCTAGTTATCTTTATCGTTACGTTGACATGTGAATTATGATAAACACACACAGAAGGGTTTTGAGATGAATTCCATGTAACACCCATTCCTTATAGGCTCCAACGAAACCTAACCCAACCACCATACATAATAGTAATACAGTAGTTTCTAAAGTCAACGTAATCCACTTTAACTACCACAGTCAACCTTGAGAAAATGATTGTTTTCCGTGAACAATTGGCAGCGTTAGTGGCAGACTAGCATCTTGATGAGGCTACAACCAGTTTTTACACGTCTGCCAAGCCAGTAGTCCAACGAGGGGCGCCCTTACACTCGGGAACAATGTCGAAGGAAGAGAACTGGGATGAATCACCTTATATTGTGTCAAGGCTGCCTTCACTTTCAAACGTCTGCTACTATTGTTGGTCAAGTTAGGAGTGAGGTGAATATCCACGGTAACAATTATTATTATTTTTAGTGGTATTATTATTATTATTATTGTTATTATTATTACCTATTGACTCGTGGTACCTGAGTTAAAGCTTCAACGTAACAATGGCTTATGACACCCATGGGGGGGGGGATCAAATAATATATTTGTCACTTCACCAAGATGACATTTAAGATTTTTTTTTTTTTTGCGACATGAATCATGCTTGGTGAGAAAACTTTGGTCACCAGTCTGGTGTTTATCCTGCCACGTGGTGAGCGGGTAATGGTGCTGTGTGTCAAGCTGTATCACATATCAGTTGGGCTATCCTGTGTCCTGATTTACGTTATCTCAAACACCACCAAGACTTATTCACGCGTTGAGGAATTTTTTTTTACGGGAATTAGCCAACCCGGGCAAGGTCAAACGACCCACAACGGAGCCTGGGGGGCGAAAAAAAAGAACGGAAAGAAATTGAAAATATAGAAAAAAGGTTATACTGTATTAATCTACACCACGAAGTTGCCGGAAAACCAGCTTTTTAAAGTGAGACAGATTGTAAGAGCATTGAGGAGTGTCGCTTCACAGGCTTTTTTATACTTATAATACTGTAATTATCTGGAAAACACTACTTAAACTGTACTTAAACTCATAATTCTAGATTTTGAATTTAGATTTGACAGAGCTGTCGTCCTTGGTAGAGCAGCGTAAATATTAAGCAATGTTGGGACGTTTATTTACATCATTATGCCATAACCTTTCCCAATAGCCGAGAAATTGCGTCCGTCATGCTGTCTAGTTCGAGGTTAGATTAGATTCGGTTCAGTTAGGTTACATTAGGGTTAGGTTGCATGTGGTGTTCTGTAGTTACTCCTAGTTCTGGTAGATAAATGGATAATTAAATGAAGAGATAAAACACCATCTGGGAAGGTTGAGTCATCACTGAACCTGGTACCCGACCCTGGATATCTTATTGTATTTGTTTCTCTTGCACCGTTAATAGCAGTAGTAAAGAGATGGTCATTGTTCTATTCTGTGTCTGATCTTTACGTAGTTCCAATGGGTCTCACTAGGTGCTAGATTTATATCTCGGTTCATAGTTTATAATGTTTAAAACTTTAAATCAATACTCCTCATTTTTTCTCACTTTCTAATTTCAGGCTTAATACATTTTCAGGTACTACAGTATATTGACATCAAATAATGTATATTAGTATACATAAACTTTATTCAAGAGGATGAAATAGATTTTGATAGATTGAGTTTCGCGATTAACACAGTTTATGCTCACTTTGATAAGTTCAGCTCCATGGCATTACTTAACTCATTTTGGTAAATTAAGCTCTGTGGTTGGGAGGACACGCATGCTCAATCACAGAGCAAAGATGAAGTGGAAGGTTCAGGAACAAAAGAACTGTAATGGAATATGTCTTAAAAAAAAAGGTTTCATCTGACCTTCACTGGTAAAGGTCAAACTGTTATGTGCGTCCAACAGAAAATCGATTTTTTTGGCCGTCAGTATTTCCAATTAACGCGTATGTCAGTGACAAACATCTTTCTCTTTATTTTGAGAATTAATTAAATCTGCTTGTGATCCATGTAGTATACTGATAACCGCACGGAAATCTTCGGGGTTTTTTCCTTTGGGTTATTAGTTAGCTCTGACAATACTGCATTCAGGACTGATAGCTGCTTTAACTTGACTGTGACCTCTGAGAGTGCACGGTGCGGTTATTTGCCAACTCCGGGTACTGTGTGTACATTTGATTGAGTAATATTTCTTAGGGGTGTTCATAAACATCTCTTAATTCGCCCTCAACCCTTCCATGGTATAAACTAGGTACATGTAATTAAAGTCATTCTAATCTTTCTTGGTAAGTGAGGTGTGAGACCCAGTACCAGTTTGGACGTGCCTAAATCTCATTTAATTGGCAGTCTAGTATAATCCCAGAGAACAAAACTAGTGGGTTCTTAATACAAGTCAGGAGTTCTGATATGTTTGCTTTTCTGTTTATTTTCATTTTATATATACTGGTATATGATTTTCTCTTGCGAAAGGTAAATGTTTTTCTGCCTTCAGCTGCCCATTATGTAACAGCAAGCTGGTGGAGTCCAGGAGATGAATATTAATATACTGTATCTTGATAGTAAAACGGGGTTATTTTCACGGAAACTGTTGCGTGGATTAATGGAATGTCAATCAGGTGGTAGATCAAGGAAAAACTACTTAGAATTTACATAAGAAGTGTGAAGTAGGGTGTGACACAGCAGCACTCCAGCATATCGACAAGTGCCACTAAAACAATGCACATATTGCAAATTCAGTGTACCTTGTGTGAAGGTCAGTACTGGAGCAGATTTCATGAATTAATAAAACTAACACGCTTCATTAGTTGTTTTCACAAATATTTTCCTTTGCTTTCACACCAGATTTGCATTTTTATGGATTTGAAGAAGAGTGCCATTGGATGTATTACATGTATTTAGAAACATTAAGCTAAACAGAACTTTGAACAAAAATAAATAAAAAGTTGCTTTACCCTTTCATTCCTGGGTCTTGTCACCTGAAAAATATTTGTTTTTATGGTATTTTGCGGTATTTTGTTAATCAGGCTAAATTTAGATCAGACTCACTGCACTAGTTTTATTCAGAAGGAAGGCTTTGTCTATAGTGTACATCTAGCCAGCTATTTATCTACCTCTGATGTTACTTGATGACCAAAGAGGATGAGCTAGTGACCCTACAGTGTATATTCAGATTACCCTTGAACATGACATCTTGACTTGTCCCTGTGAGCTGTTTCACGTGGCAACAGTGTGAAGCGAAAAGTTGTCTGGTGTGTGGATGTCTCTTGAAGTCGTATCTCTACATACCCTGCGATACTCTGTTGACGGGATCCTTATCTTTATCAGATAATTACCGTATCACAAGACTTTCAGCCCAGGTATCAATTTTGTTACCCACTTTTAAACATTGTCAATTGCACAGAGGCCTTTCCAGCTTGTGGGGAGATATTATCTAGTTGGTGAATTATCACTATTAACTTTTTCCATTCCTACAGTCTTCGAATGTTAATTTACAGTCAAATATCCTTCCAGGGTCCTTGTCTTTCAGAGAGCAGCATGGGAAGCAAAAACGACAAAACAAAAATTCAGTGGGGAGGATGCAGTATGAATACAATACTGTATTGTACTGTATGTTCAAATTATGAAATACACTCTGTACTGTATACCTATGCTGTATACAGAACAGTATTATAATGAATTTAATATGATTTTACTGTCTTGAATAAATTTTGATGTGTATATTAATTACAAGTACAGGGGGTCCCGGGTTACGAACGGGTTCCATTCCCGAGGACGTGTAAAATCCCACTATATCGTAGCTTAAGACCTTATTTACATCTAAAATCATTTAATTTAGGACAAAAGAAGAAATAGAATCACAAAATACAGTAAATGAAAGTAAAAAATAAGTCATCAGGTAAATAAAATACTACTGTATAAATAAATACCTGTACTATAAATTTCAAGTTTAACCCCGTTCATGTCAGTGGGAGTTTGTAAGTCGGGGACCCACTGTACTGTACTGTACTGTATGATCCATCATTCATATACAGTACGACATACATTATAATGTGAATGTTATAAATAAAGAAATGTGTGGGAGGTGTTTCCTTATTACTTATTACTAATGATAAAATTATTGTTTCAGATGCTCCTAGACCATCGTAGCCGCAGTGAGATGACCCGTATGGTTAGTGCACGGACTAATGGTGCAACACCGCTAGTCATGGCCTCCAAGAACGGACATCTCTCTTGCGTTGAGTACTTAGTGGAGCGCTGTAATGCTGACCTAGAACAAGTTGGGTCAGGTGAGTAAAGACCTCACAGAAAATGTTGTTGATGTCAGTAGCTACAATGTTGATTTATGACTACCATACTGTACTGCAGTATTGGAAACACTGAAGCAATGGGACCTAATTTTTTCTTTGCATTGATATCTTAGATCAGTATCAGAATATCAGTATCTATAGTATTTGCAACAGTGTATTGTACTTTATATTTTTCAAGAACTTTGTACATTACAGTAAGTGAGTCATTGTTGTACAGTATACTGTACTGTACTTTGCTATACTGTATATACAATTTATTAATTTTTTTTGTATTAATGTACCGTAATGATACAGAACAGAACTTAATCCAAACTGACTATTACAGTTGTGTTTGATGGTGAGACCATAGACGGAGCTCCTCCTCTATGGTGCGCTGCAGCCGCTGGTCACTTAAATGTCGTGTCATATCTCCTTGAGAAAGGTGCTAATGTCAACGCAACTACCAAGACCAACTCCACCCCTCTCAGAGCAGCTTGCTTTGATGGACACTTCGAAATAGTAAAATATTTAGTTGAACATAATTCTGGTTAGTATTTGTTACTATAGAATTGTTAGCTTTTGTATACACTTGTAAAGAAAAATTGTAGTTTTATAAAAATCCTGAGGACTAGTATACAGAACAGTATATATAAAGTGAAACCTCTATTTAACGGACTACTGTACTGTACAGGGTATTTATAGAGATAAATCCGTTATATCAATGGTTCGTTAGCTGTAAAACCTCCATCTAATGAACTTATAGAGATGAAAGTCTGTTATATTAAGGATCGGTTATATATAAAACCTCCATCTAATGATTATATGGAGAGAGAAGTCCAGTGAAGTTATACAGGTATTGAGAAACTTGTTCAATAGAAGGCCAGAATTAATTATTGTTGGTAAAAGTTGTTACACTGTACTGTACTGTACTGTATATGAAGAAAAAACTCAGTTTATGAACATTATTATTTATTTTCAAAGTTAACCCAACAAGAAGTAGTGAAATATGCATTATTTAATGTCATATTTTTGTATAAACTACATTCAAACTGCCGTATGTATTCTCATGGACAAATCTAAATAAGACAATTATTTAATTCTTATATCATTACAGTACTATACAGTAGCTACTTGATGGTGGCCTTACTAAAGTTTACATTGTTATGGTCCATAGTACTGAATCTTAACTGTCTACAGTGTGTTTTTTCTATACTTTCTTCATTTTCCGGTACATTTTTAAACCAATTTACTGGTTGACTTATACAAAGGGCAGTGACATACTAGAATTATTTTGTCAGAATTAACCCTTCATACTTTGCTCAAATTTTCCTTGGATGTGTGTTAGTAAGTTTTAAAGCACTAGAATATTACACTCCTGTATTATGTGAATGATTGGAAGGCTGTCATATATCTTATAAAGCTCTTTAATTATCATGGAATTTACATTTTTTTGTAAAGTACAGTAGTACTGTACTACTGTATTTGTGTTTTCATTCTTTACTGTATTCATTAACCAATACAGTTCTGTATATGATACCTGTCATTGATGTACATTGTGACTGAGACAAAGGTTTGTATTAATGAGAGTTTAGAAATAGGAATGCTGTGTGAAAGTTAATCAAATACTGTAAAACAAATATACTTTAATGATGCCTGAGGATGAAATGGCCCCCAGTCATATTATACCAGGATTGTGGCCCATTAGTAGTGGTCTGTTTGGCCAGTCATGTTAATGGTACTTAAGGCTGCCAGTGTATTATAGTAATTCTTCTTTTCAGACATTGAGGTTGCTAACCGCCATGGCCACACGTGTTTGATGATCGCTTGCTACAAGGGCCACTTTGAGATTGCCAAATATCTTATAGAAATCACAGCAAATGTTAATCGCAAAAGTGTTAAAGGCAACACAGCATTACATGACTGTGCGGAATCAGGTTCATTGGACATCATGAAACTTCTTTTAGACCACAGTGCCAAAATGGATGTTGATTCATATGGTACGTTCAATAATATTTAGTTTGACTCTTTTTATTCACCTTGCTACTAGGATTAGTTGAGGCTAGTGACATGGGAAGAGGCTAGCTTAGCGCACATTACAGATTCACAGTTAATAATGCATGAACAACCTTGATTGGACATGAGATTGAATGTGAAGTGCCTTTAGCTAAACTGTGGTACCCCTCAGTATATATATATATAAATATTTTCAATGTCTAGTATATTTTGTTCTCATTTCCAATAAGTTGTGATGTATTTTTTTAGACTAACAAATGTGTGACCCCACCTCACCACACATGTTAAACTAGGGAGGTCCATCAATGAGCCACTTGTCAGCAGTGTTCCTGGATGAGTGACCTACTGGTATGTTAGGTGGAGGGAATTTATCTTTACATTTAGCTGCCAACTAGTCAGTTGGTGTCAAATTGTCAACATTTCAAAGGAACCATAAAGCCAGAGGCTGTAGATGTCAGGTGACAGGAGTTATGAACTCTCATGACAAGTGTTACTGCCACTGACACCATTTAGACAGACACAAGTGATCTGTGAGTTAATAACCACAATGTACGTACAGTATTTGAATGTTTTATGTCTTTTTAGCTTTTCCCATAACAAATTCTGGGCAAGCAAATTTCCTTCTAAAATTTGTCAGGGCAAGTATAAAAGATATCTGGGCAAGGAAATTTCAAAAGTCACTTGCCCGGGACAGGTTTATGTTCCAAGTAATCTGCCCAGCCTGAGTGTACATGTACACTCTTGCTGTAATGCTGAGGACCGAAGGTTAGGTGTGTGCTGCATGCCCTCAATAATTGATGTGTTGTGCTGAGTGAGTGTTGGCAAACAACAATTAATAGGTGCCAGGCTAGCAAATGCAGCCATGAGCCCTTTATTATTATTGTTACCGTAATATAATATTTACTATTGTATTATTATTATTATTATTATTATTATTATTATTATTATTATTGGCATAATATCATATTTCTTATTATAATACAGAGCAAGCTGTACTGTACTGAATAAATATAATTTAACAATTACTGGAGACGGCAGAGGAAATTGTTTGTAGTGGCTGCTCACAGTAGTAGCGGCAGCTTGTGAATTTTGATTTTTTAGAAAATTATGTTCAATTGAAGAATCAAAATTTAAATTAAATTTGTTCCATTATATGTCAGCAACTGTTAAGAGAAACCAAGTACATACTGTAAAAACTGCAGAGATTTAACTCTACTCCATCCAGCTAGCCATTCCACTCACCTTTCTTTTGTAGAATATGTTTTTTGGACAGAGGATGAATTGCTGTTGATATTGTAAAAACAGTTAGATGTCAAGTTCAGTACATAGAATTAATCACTGTATTATGTGATGTACTTGTACTGTACAGCACTCAGTTATTTTTATGTCTTTCTAGGAATGACACCTCTTTTAGCAGCGAGTGTCACAGGCCACACTCACATCGTGGAATATCTTATTTCTCGAACTGACCTGATCTCCAGGAAGGATAAGATTGATGCCCTGGAACTACTCGGAGCTACATATGTTGACAAGAAGAGGGATATGCTCGGAGCTCTCAGATTTTGGAAGATGGCTATGTCTGAAAGGTAGTTTTGTGTATTCTTTCCTCACAACCCAAATAGCTACTCTGACGTTTGTCTTGAATCCCCACAAAATGTTCTATACTACTGAGGGTATACACAAACACTTGTTATCTTAAAAGTAGGTTCTATTCTCGTACGGGAGATATATACAGAGGGACCCAGGAGCTCGCTTCCACACCACAAAGACTCTGTCTTCACTCTCTATGTATTACTGCGCGCTGGGATGTACAGATGCCAGCATTCACAAGCTGAATACATACAATGTAAATATGATAATTTATATACATAACATGGTGCACAATAAATGGAATATTACATAGAATTAATACATTCTGTAATACTTTACTATACATAATTAATGGAGTAATATAAGAGTAATATAATAATACACAGCTGAAGGTACTACTTTGTGTCCATATCATACAGCTACCTCCATTTTGTTAAAGCAGCCATCCATGACCGTGGTCAGTACAAATTTGTACTGACCACGGTCGTACAATATATGCTTGAGAAAGTACTTGCTAATGCCTCTTAGCATCTTCAAAATGCTTATTGAATAGTGGAAACTAAACACTTGCAATCAATCTAATCAGTGGAGTATATTATATAATGTAAGTACTGTCCTGTAATGACCGAAGTTGATGCATTCATTGCTTTCCATGCTTTAGTTGACATTGTTTTTCTAGTACTGTACTATACCTAGGTGCTGATTCTTGCCAACTCACAGATGTTTTTTAAAATAAATTCATGCTTTGACTCTAGCTATTCAAAGAGATCTGGTCCCAGCAGAAGAGCAAAAACAAAACCTTCCTGAACTGCAGCTTTCAGCTTATGACTCAATGTCCTTGCTGAAACCCCTCTACATATAAGCCATCTTCTTAGGTCATCATTTTCATTGTCATCGGTCATTGAGCACATTAATATCAACCCTCAAACATTCACACTACAATATAACAAAGTTACATGCTCCTCTACAAAATTGATCCCCCCTTTGCTCCTGAATGCATTGTAGTAAACAAACAATGATGCAGTTATGTTTTGACCTCATTATGATCAGCAAATACAGTGAATTACACAGAAATAGTTTCAGGCCTTTTTTGGGGGCTGTTTGCTCATTTACCACAATTTCATAGCATTGGGTTGAAATAAGGATTATGTAGATTCTTTACAAGTTAATATTTTTATTGCTGGTAACCTAAGAGGTGCAATACAAAGGGCAAATCTCACATACATATTGGTGAATTTCATGATTAGATTTACAATACAATAGAATGCTTTTAGTTGTAACTGTAATTTCTATGGTCCTGAAGGAAATTTTTCTTATACAGGTATTTAGAAAATTGTTATTTACTGGTATACAGTACTGTACTGTATATACAGTATATTAGACTAAAAGAAACGTTCAAAAGTTGTTAGCAAAACCATGCAAACTGTGACGCTCTTCTCTTTTCACAAAGCTGCGCCCTCATCCAATGAGAGTGTTGCTAGTACTCAGCCATGTTTTGAAAGCTTCCCGCTGCCATACAGTAGATGCATGTTTATTCCACTGTGGTACTAACTTTTTTTTGTTTCTACTCTTATTTGACTCATAATAAAGGCCTACAATTGATGCAGCTTGTAATGTGGCTTTGCAGTTAAGGAAAAAATACAGGTCACTATGTATGTGAGGGCTGATCAAAACATTTGGTGAATGATCTCACTACTACTGAACAAATAGGGGTGGGAGAACATCAGTGGGCGGGACTTATTTCAACAACCCCTCTTCATATCCATGCCGATTAGTAACTGCTATCATACTTCAGTGTGCTGACAGACTGGTTTGTAGTAGCAAGTGTCTGTACAGTAAGGTGTGTTTACCAAAGATGTCAAAATTTGAGCAGCGTCCAAATGTGCAGTTTTGTTTCAAACTTGGCAAGGCAGCTACAGATACACACGGAACACTTGTAACCACTGTATTCACCTGACTTGTCACCATTTGATTTCTGGCTGTTCCCTAAACTGAAACAAACAATGAAAGGGAAGAGCTTTGATACATATGAAGACATCGAGTCCCATACAACTGACCGTTGGAGGGCGAGTCCAAGAGAGGACTATCAGAAATGTTTCAAGCAGTGGCAGGAGTGGTGGAACAAGTGTGTACAGTGTATAATGAATGGGAGTGCCTGTACCTGAACCTTGAAGGGGAAAAACAATGTGTGTTTTGTTTGATATATTGTTTGTTCAGTAAAAACAAGTGCTATACTATACTGTACTGTATTGTAATTCCTTCATTCATCAAACTTTCTCATCAGCCCTTACTTTTATTCACCTTGCTACTAGGATTAGTTGAGGCTAGTGACATGGGAAGAGGCTAGCTTAGCGCACATTACAGATTCACAGTTAATAATGCATGAACAACCTTGATTGGACATGAGATTGAATGTGAAGTGCCTTTAGCTAAACTGTGGTACCCCTCAGTGTATATATATAAATATTTTCAATGTCTAGTATATTTTGTTCTCATTTCCAATTCTGTTTTCAGGTATGAAAATGGAGTGATGATATATCCCAAGCCAATACAACAATCTCCAATTGCTGCCTATGAGAATTCAATAGAAGTGATGACTTTACAGCAACTAGAAGAAATAATTTCTGATCCAGATGAAATGCGAATGCAAGCTCTACTAGTTAGAGAGAGAATTCTCGGACCAGCTCATCCCGACACAAGTTACTACATCCGATATCGAGGGGCGGTTTATGCTGATACTGGTAATTTTGATCGATGTATAACACTCTGGATGTATGCCTTGGATATGCAACAGAAGATCCTTGAGCCCCTAAGCCCAATGACACAGAGTTCATTTGTGTCATTTGCAGAATTATTCTCTTTCATGATGAGTGAAGCTAAAAATCGTGGCAGGAGAGTGCCAGTGGTCAACTTCTGTGATATGATGCGAGTGTTTGAAAAGTGCTTGCGGGAGGTTGAAGTGGGCATGTATCAGCTTACCAAAATTGTAAATGGCTGTAATGGCATGTTAGCTAATGGAGGGGAGCGAGATACCACGTACTTTCATCGCACACTTGTCATAACTATGCATTTGGTTTGCTTACTCACTAAATTGGGACCTGGTTTAACTCCCCTCCAGCGACATGCTATGAGGAAAGCAGTGTATCAGTTAGTACGACTAGACCCATGTGGGTCAGGAGGGGTGACTCCTTTGCATCTGGCTTGTTCACGGGACTCTTCAGCAACGGTTGGAAGATTCCCTATCTGTACCTTCCCAAGTCTGGAGGTTGTAGCTTTATTATTGGAAGTTGGTGCAGATCCCTGTGCCACAGACCAGCAGGGCAATACTCCTCTACACACGCTAGCTAGTAACAAGCAGTGCCGACGAGAGCTGCTCACTGCACTCCTAGCAGCAGGTGCCCATCTTGATACTCTCAACAGAACTGGCCAGAGCTTTGCTTCTTTACGTGCCTCTCGTGGGCAACGACTTCACCAACTGATAAACCCTCTTCAGCATACCTCCTTACAGTGCCTGGCTGCTGCCACTCTCCGTAGACACGGCCTTCCGTACGATACAATCTTGCATCCGCGACTCGCACAGTTCGTAGACCACCACTGATCCCTTCTGTAAATAGCTCAGTGAGGTATCCCACTCCTTGTATATAAATTTAATAATTAAGCATGTGTACATATATACATAATCATTATCTTTACATTTGAGTAAAGGCATATGTAGCCATAATTGATTGGGTGATGTATGACATCATCTCCAAGTGGCATTATATTGTAAGCAGCCGAACATTATGTTGATCACTGTGGTGTATAGCTAGTGACCTTCCCCAGGCTGTCATTTTCCTAGAGGCTCCCCACTCTGCAGAACTTGAAATGTCAAAGCTCTGCTTATTATGTCTTTAAAAAATATTCAGTGATAAAGTTTTAATGATTATGAAATTTTGACTTAATCCATAATATAATGTACAGGTTTATTTGAAACTCATTACTTTAAATAATTATTTGTTTGATATAATCAATCTACCAGTATTTAACTGTTCATAAGTACAGAGAGGTCATGTAGCAAATTTTATCAATTTGACACCAAAAACTGATAAAGGAACAAGCATGACTTCCAGATTTTTAAAAATATTTTTTGCCATTCAAAATTTACAATAAATTTTACTCTTTTTAACCCACTGAGCAGTGAGTAGTCAAGTCCTGAGTGTAGTGGCTTGAGGTTGAGTGATGACATTGGGAAATGTCAATGTAACTTTCCATGGGAGTGATATCATGAAAAGATTATTAGGAGTGCATCAGGTGCTATGATGTCTTCTGAAGAGAAAACTCATTAATTGGATTTGCATTTAATGTAGGGATGCAGTTATTTGTTTATGCCTTATGATGATAGTATGAGATAGATGTGGCAAAATTTTTTATTATAATCCGAAGATATGAAAATGTTAACCCCTTCACTACGAGGATGTTACTTTTGATATTTTACTTGGTTAACGTCAGGCGATTTTATTCAGCTGAGAGGGGACCCCATATACAAGGGGTTGAATTTCAAAAGAAGCATCAAAGTGTTCAGCATTTCCCTTCCTTTTCAAGTTTTTGATAATATCATTTCCTCTAAGTTCATAATATACATGTATAATCAACACTGAATTAATGAAAAGATTTACAGTATGTACTTGATTGCCCAAAAAGTTTAAGTTAAATTTCATGGGTGGGGAAGCAGATGCTTGGATGCGACTTGACTCCTTGGTGATGAAAACTTAATTTGAAGGCTATCTTTTTTCATCAAGTACCTTCAGTGGTGTGTAATTTTGTCTTTCCAGTGCGATAAAGAAGAAACCTTTGTGCCAAAAAGAATAAATTTTGGTTTTTGGTTACTTCAGCTACCCTGTTTTTTTAATTGAATTGAATTGAAACAGTTTATTTAGCCAGAAAAACACAGATACAGAGTGGATAATAATAACAATATTAACATGGCTGAGCCAGTTGAGAACCTGAGCTCTCTTTTAGGCACCTGATATATACTATACATTTATCTCAAGGATGTATTATGTAACATTTAGTAACATCTGGAATAGTGCAATAGCATGGTAGTAATAAGAACATCTCAGTGTTATCACTTCAATATTTATTCATTTTAGTTATTATTTTTTTTATTTTTTTATTTTTTTTTATATGTAATATAAGCATATACATAAATTATAGTGGAATTGAAAAACATAAGTATAATGTTGCAGCAGTCTTGCCAAACTAATCCAGGTGTTCAAATAATAAAAACCAACACAAAGCTGTGTTTGCCTACCACTATTTCACTTTGGCTGTGTAACTGGAAACTTACAATTTACTTTATTTGGCCTTATGAGTTTTTGTTTAGCTTTGGTTTACAAAATTAATATCTAAAGAAAAAAGTTTTTTGGCAATGTCAATTATAACCATAAATATGTACTGTACTGTAAATCTGATTGCTGTTCCTGGCACTGTTGATTTATCTGTGATACAGTTTGGTTTGTCGCTGTGCTCCATTTAGACTAGTATTTTAACAAGTTTGTATGAGGAGTAACTTGACACAAATTCTATATATTTAAAATTTTGGCCTGTAAATCTTTCATACATTGTGTAGACTTTTTTCTTCACTGGAACAGTACACTGGATTTCATTTTGATGTAAGTATTATTTCATACTTTATTGTATTACAAGTTTGCTAGTTGAAGCTTGCAAGATTTTTACATGGAAATACTCTTTTATTTTATTATTTGAAAACTAACAAAATATGTTTGAAAAGAAAATCACTGACATGATAATGTTTTTATACTCAGAAGATATAATTATTTTATATTAATTGATGTTTAAAACCTAATTTCACGAACGTGTTCAGTCTAGTTGTTTCCAAATTTTGTGTACCACATGAGCCAGGTTGTGGTGGTTGTTATGCCTCGGATGTTGAGGCATTATTCAATCATGGTAGTATCTAATGAGAAACCCAACTATTGTATAATATTTCCTGGTTTAGAAATACAGGTGTACAGTATGTTAAAGTATTAGCTGGGATCTATCATTCCATCCTCATGATTCCACTTGGCTTTATATCCTATTGGCATTACAGTACTTGTAAAATTTATATAATTGTGTATATATATGAATAGTACTATCAAAGTTCTTGCTTTCTGATTGTGTGAGAAGGAATGGAAAATGAATTGGAATGTGGGAGTACGGAATTGTATAGTGTGTTACTAATGTTTGACCATTCAAGACATATATATAAGCCATTGACTTTTCAGGAGGAGTAGCAGGAATCTACATAAGGGGAATTAAAAACCTTGGTATTTTTGCTTTAGTAATTATGTTATGGGCTGCTGAAAAAGTCTGAACTACTGTTGGTCTTCATAAAATATAAAGTGTCATGCCTGTCGGTGATTTTCATATTTTGAAAGAACAAGTACTGTATTGTGGAATGCCTTAGGTATGGTTATCTCATTGTATCATTAAAGTTCTACTTGATTGTTTTTGCAGATCATATGAATATGATTAAAGAACAGCAACCTCACAACTGGCATTTGTAATATATAGATTATGAATTTACATATAGGCATTTTCAAAACTGTATTAGAAAATTCTGTGTACACTTGTCAGTGCAACATCTTTTGGGATTCAGATTACTTGCAAGATGGTGTGACTAAAAAATAAAGATTTTGTGCTTTTTTGCAATTATTATTAATACTCTGCCAAAGCTATAAATTAAAATGACTTAAAAGAACAGAACTTACATGGCAAGCCCATCACCCTGTTTTATTTGTGTATAGTATTTCTGATCTATACACATGGGTATTCCTGTTGATAGATATATATATATATATATATATATATATATATATATATATATATATATATATATATATATATATATATATATATATATACATATGGGCTATTCCTGAGATAGTATATATATATATATATATATATATATATATATATATATATATATATATATATATATATATATATATATATATATATATATATATATATATATATATATATATATATATATATATATATATATATATATATATATATATATATCATGTAGATCCACAATGAAAACGTGGATAAGATAAATCTTGATAAAATCACACGGGAAAAGGGAAACAACGAAGCACCTTAGCTTTCGTCTTTATTCAAGACATCTCTGAAGATGTCTTGAATAAAGACGAAAGCTAAGGTGCTCCTGTAGTGGCTCTTCTCCCCTACAACTTCCAACTGAGCTCCGGCCGCGCGCTGACCAGCCAATCAGCGTACAGCCAGCTACGCCGAGAGACTAGGTCTGTGCAGAGGACGTAGGGGTACGATCGCTGACCTAGTCTCGACCATCAACCTCCAGTTCAGGATCAGAGCGTTTCACACCTTACGCTTGAGCCACTGTGATTGGTCCTCTCGCTACGCGCACCCCAAATCCTGATACTCGTAAATTGTATAAATACGGCCACGCCTGCCCAGGGAGAACATTCTACACTCGGCTACTAGACCAGCAACATCTCTCACAGCTCCTCACCTAGTCACTCCTAAGCACTGCGCTGTACAACAATATATATACAGAAAGCGCATTGTGAGTTTCTGTCCAACCTCATTCCTCAGTGGAGATATCTACATGTACGTACGTTTGTGTGCCCATACAAAGAGATAATAAACAACTAAAGAGAATTGACAACTGGCCACATACAGTACGCTACACTCCGTTGTTTCCCTTTTCCCGTGTGATTTTATCAAGAAATATATATATATATATATATATATACATACACAAAAAGTAGATCATAGGAAAGGGGAAATTTAAATTAAATGAAATGGAAAATTTCTATAGAAAATGGGAAATTTTTTAATGGAAATAGAAAGTTTAATCATAGAAAATGGGAAATATCCACTTTCCAGTAAAGGATATTACATAATTTTTCGAATATTAGATTTTCATAGAAAACGGAAAATTTATCATAGTAAACGGGAAATTTGTATCATAGAAAATGGGAAATATCTACTTTCCCGAAAAGTAGAGTAGATTTTCTACTTTTCGGGAAAGTAGATTATCGACTTTTTGGGGAGGTAGATTATCGACTTTTGGGGAAATATTAACTAATTTTGCAAAGTAGATTATCATAGAAAACGGGAAATTTGTATCATAGAAAATGGGAAATATCTACTTTCCGGGAAAGTTGGTTATCTACTTTCCCGAAAAGTAGAGTAGATTTTCTACTTTTCGGGAAAGTAGATTATCGACTTTTCGAGGAGGTAGATTATCGACTTTTGGAGAAATATTAACTAATTTTGCAAAGTAGATTATCATAGAAAACGGGAAATTTGTATCATAGAAAATGGGAAATATCTACTTTCCGGGAAAGTTGGTTATCTACTTTCCCGAAAAGTAGAGTAGATTTTCTACTTTTCGGGAAAGTAGATTATCGACTTTTCGAGGAGGTAGATTATCGACTTTTGGAGAAATATTAACTAATTTTGCAAAGTAGATTATCATAGAAAACGGGAAATTTGTATCATAGAAAATGGGAAATATCTACTTTCCGGGAAAGTTGGTTATCTACTTTCCCGAAAAGTAGAGTAGATTTTCTACTTTTCAGGAAAGTAGATTATCGACTTTTTGGGGAGGTAGATTATCGACTTTTGGGGAAATATTACCTAATTTTGCAAAGTAGATTATCATAGAAAACGGGAAATTTGTATCATAGAAAATGGGAAATATCTACTTTCCGGGAAAGTTGGTTATCTACTTTCCCGAAAAGTAGATAGATTTTCTACTTTTCAGGAAAGTAGATTATCGACTTTTGGGGAAATATTACCTAATTTTGGTAGAAAACGGGAAATTTGTATCATAAAAAATGGGAAATATCTACTTTCCGGGAAAGTTGGTTATCTACTTTCCCGAAAAGTAGAGTAGATTTTCTACTTTTCGGGAAAGTAGATTATCGACTTTTTCGGGGAAGTAGATTTTCGACTTTTGGGGGAAATATTACCTAATTTTGCAAAGTAGATTATCATAGAAAACGGGAAATTTGTATCATAGAAAATGGGAAATATCTACTTTCCGGGAAAGTTGGTTATCTACTTTCCCGAAAAGTAGATAGATTTTCTACTTTTCAGGAAAGTAGATTATCGACTTTTTGGGGAGGTAGATTATCGATTTTTGGGAAATATTACCTAATTTTGCGAAGTAGATTATCATAGAAAACGGGAAATTTGTATCACAGAAAATGGGAAATATCTACTTTCCGGGAAAGTTGGTTATCTACTTTCCCGAAAAGTAGATTATCTACTTTCGGGAAAGTAGATTATCGACTTTTGGGTAGATTATCGACTTTTGGGGAAATATTACCTAATTTTGCAAAGTAGATTATCATAGAAAACGGGAAATTTGTATCATAGAAAATGGGAAATATCTACTTTCCGGGAAAGTTGGTTATCTACTTTCCCGAAAAGTAGAGTAGATTTTCTACTTTTCGGGAAAGTAGATTATCGACTTTTCGGGGAGGTAGATTATCGACTTTTGGGGAAATATTACCTAATTTTGCTAAGTAGATTATTATAGAAAATGGGAAATTTGTATTATAGAAAATGGGAAATATCTACTTTCCGGGAAAGTTGGTTATCTACTTTCCCGAAAAGTAGAGTAGATTTTCTACTTTTAGGGAAAGTAGATTATCGACTTTTTGGGGAGGTAGATTATCGACTTTTGGGGAAATATTTCCAAATTTTGCAAAGTAGATTATCATAGAAAACGGGAAATTTGTATCATAGAAAATGGGAAATATCTACTTTCCGGGAAAGTTGGTTATCTACTTTCCCGAAAAGTAGAGTAGATTTTCTACTTTTCGGGAAAGTAGATTATCGATTTTTCGAGTACGTAGATTATCGACTTTTGGGGAAATATTACCTAATTTTGCTAAGTAGATTATCATAGAAAATGGGAAATTTGTATTACAGAAAATGGGAAATATCTACTTTCCGGGAAAGTTGGTTATCTACTTTCCCGAAAAGTAGAGTAGATTTTCTACTTTTCGGGAAAGTAGATTATCGACTTTTCGAGGAGGTAGATTATCGACCTTTTGGGAAATATTACGTAGTTTTGCGAAGTAGATAACCAATTTTTCCGGAAAGTAGATATTTCCCATTTTTTATGATACAAATTTCCCGTTTTCTATGATAATCTACTTAACAAAATTAGGTAATATTTCCCAAAAGTCGATAATCTTGTAGGGGTATCGAGATATTAATGTTGTCTAGCACTCAGGATGGAAGGAATCTCTAATGTGGTTTTCTTGTATAATATAAGTTATATGATAGACAGTCTGGTGCTGGAGGTGCTGCTTGTTCAGGAAGATGGGCAGAATGAGAGTTGGTTGGTGAGGAAGCTCAGAGAAGGACAGCTGGTGGGTCGCCCTGCTCGCTGGCGGGAGCGAGGACCGCCAGGCAGGCGAGGAGAAGCGAAGGCAGCCAGGCAGCGGCGGAAGAGGAGGTGTTGCTTGGTCAAGAAGAATGGTCAGAATGAATCTCAATGGAGAGACAGAGCTTATATACCCAGCAGCAGCCGCCAGTCCTCTATGAATCATGTTGGGAAAACCCAGAAAGTCGCCGGTGACTAGTTCCGTTGCTAAGATACGGTAACATCTGGTTGGTTGCTAGGGAGGCGGTAGCAGGTGGTGGCTGTGGCTACGCAGTTGTAGGAAGTTGTAGGGGAGACGTCCACTACAATTTGTAGGGGTATCGAGATATTAATGTTGTCTAGCACTCAGGATGGAAGGAAACTCTAATGTGGTTTTCTTATATAATATAAGTTATATGATAGACAGTCTGGTGCTGGAGATGCCGTGTGGTGGGGAGCTGCTCAGTAGAAGACGTTCGGTGAGTAGCGTGTTGAAGGAGGTAGATGTGCAGGAGCTTCGTTAGAGAAGATGTTGCCTGTTGCTGGCCTCCTGATTGAATGAATGCTAACAGCGTGGAGCTTGCTGGAGGAGGTGTTGCTTGTTCAGGAAGATGGGCAGAATGAATCTCAATGGAGAGACAGAGCTTATACACCCAGCAGCAGCTGCCAGTCCTCTATGAATCATGTTGGGAAAACCCAGAAAGTTGCCGGTGACTAGTTTCGTTGCTAAGCAACCCTACCATCTGGCGTCAGCTCTCGCTTGGTTGCTAGGAGACAGCACGTCGGAATGCGTAGCAGGTGGTGGCTGTGGCTACGCAGTTGTAGGCAGTTGTAGGGGAGACGTCCACTACAATCTACTTCCCCGAAAAGTCGATAATCTAATTCCCCGAAAAGTCGATAATCTACTTTCCCGAAAAGTAGAGAATCTACTCTACTTTTCGGGAAAGTAGATAACCAACTTTCCCGGAAAGTAGATATTTCCCATTTTATATGATACAAATTTCCCGTTTTCTATGATAATCTACTTTGCAAAATTAGGTAATATTTCCCCAAAAGTCGATAATCTACCTCCCCAAAAAGTCGATAATCTACTTTCCTGAAAAGTAGAAAATCTACTCTACTTTTCGGGAAAGTAGATAACCAACTTTCCCGGAAAGTAGATATTTCCCATTTTCTATGATACAAATATTTCCCATTTTATATGATACAAATTTCCCGTTTTCTATGATAATCTACTTTGCAAAATTAGGTAATATTTCCCCAAAAGTCGAT